ACCCGTGGGGAGTTAGACACAGCCAAGTGCACGTTCCTTTGGGTGGGGACATTTTGGCAAGCGCACCCTCCCACCCACCTGGGAAAGCTTGTCCCCTTCCCTCCCCACCCCGTCCCCGCCAGCAACCAGAGGTACATGATGCACTTTGCAGTGGCCGCCACGGCCCTTTCACCAGGTTTTATCGCCCCTCTCTAGCGGGGGCGATGTTTTGGCACAGGACTGAGCTGGAGGCACTGCGAACGAGCGGCTGGCAGCCCGAGCTCTGCCCGTACAAATTCGGCGTGCTTCCTTTCTGCCCTAATTCTAGAGGATTTGGCAAAACTCCCCTCTTGCAGGGTGGGGGGGGATGGAGAAGGGAGGGAGCCAAGAGGGGAAAAATACACGAATGCATCTGAACAGCTACAATTTACAGAAAGAGCATCCGAAAGGACAACACAGCAGCAGGGAGCTCAGCAGCCTCTTGAAGCTGCGTGTCCGTGGAGCACGGTGCTGAAGGGGATGCTCCAGGGCGCGCACGGGCATCCCCCCAACCCCACGGTGGGGGTTTGCGGGGCCGGGGATGCTGCGGGAAGGCCCGGCTGCCCCTGCAAACATGCGCTGGGGAAGCAGACTTGTCTTCCTCTCCACCCCAGCAGACGTGGCCGGCCCTAGCGGGGAGCACGCGTGCCTGCGGGCTGGGCACGGTCCAGCCACGGGACGTTGGAGCACATGGATTGGGGTGTCCTACAGCAGAGGTGTGTTTGAAGGGCTCAGCTCCTCGTCATGCAAGCGGTATGTCCTCTCTGCGCTAACGGGGATGGGGAGGTTCCAGAGCAGAGTGCTTAGCCATTCCTGCCAAAGCTTTCAGATCTCCTCCCTGAAAGCCTCATAACCCCCAGGGTTCCTGCTCCCCCCTCTCCCCCTCTGGCTGAAGCAGGCACACACCTGGATGCTGGTAGTCTTGTATAAACCTGGCTAGAGGATGAAAGCTCATCTTTCACCCACCCTGCTGTGCCCAAAGACCCACACAGATTCCCAGTAAGACCCAGACTCTGAGCCTGAACATACTGGACCCCTGCAGCAGCATGTACTCAGCCCTGCCTCCTCACTGTATCCCAGGAACAGCAGCAGCAGTATCTCCCTGTGGTTCCTTGTACCCGCACAGCTGACACTCCACTAAAGAGATGCATCTTCAGCTGGTCCACATTTTAAGCCTTGCTCCTCTCACTGTACAAGCAGCACCCTGCTCTGGCAGAAGGGCTGACCCCAGATGTGTCCCTCCTTAATGCCTTTATTAAAGCAGTCTCCTAAAATGTCCACAGAAGGAAAACTGAAAATCCAAACTCTAATCCACCTGATGCCTGATACAAAAAAATAAACCAACAGGATCCTCCCACTGCTATTTCCTTTTGTTGGATGACTTAAATAGGTTGTAAAGACATTTAAGTGACAAATTTTTGTCTCTGCAGCAGAACTAAATAGGGGTGGGAACACATCACCTTGGATTCTCTCATTAGTCACACAAAACACTGCACTGCACAGAAATTAAAAGGGATACAACCATTTAAGCCTCAAAGAAGACAGCGGATAGACAGTCACACCACTCAGCCACCCAGGTTCTCACTGATGCATACTAAAACTTGCTGTCTCTTTCAGATTAGCAAAAGTTGAGAAGTTTGTGTAGAAAAACCTACCAACGCTTGCAGTGGGTGTCATGCACAGAACTGACCCTGCACACCATGCATTGAAGCGTGGAAAGATGAACAAAAGGGATATTTCATTAGTGAAGCTTCAGTGTTAGAAATCACTTTAACTAAAAAGCAGGTATTCTCTTTGCAGCATTCAGTATTTAAGCACATGCAAACAGATTCTGCATATTGGTACATAAATAGTTTAAACTCGGTTTTAAGAGATCATTGCAAACCAAATTAATTCTTGAATTCTTGGGTAGTAGAGAATATATTTCTTCTCCCACCCTGGTATTAAATTATATGATCTATCCTAGAAATCAGGGTTGTTTGTTTTGGGGCTTTTTTGTATCAGCTATGTTAATTTCTTTCTGATCACATCAGCAAAAAACAAAGTGCCCTTAGAGGACTGTCACACTCATGTTAAAACTAACTTTCCAAAAGCAATTTACTCCTGCAAGCAGGGACGGGGACTCAAAGTCTCTAGCTTAAGTTGAAAGAGGCGGTTTTGTTCCAGACTTGAAACAATTGTAGTGATGATGCAGTTTTCAATAGACACCCTGACCTTCCTCTCCATGGCAAGCCATGATGCTGATCTCTCAATAACTGAAGAGAAGAAACTAAGAAAAGCAAAAGCTCGCTCCCCCTCCCCACGGTGTGAGCTGCTACGTGCTGCTTCTCTGCTTTGCCTTCCAGAGAGCTGCAAAGGCTGAGACCAGATCAGCAGCCTGGCGCATAAGGGAAAGGGGGATGTGTAAAGCAAATTCATCAGAGATCATCCTCTGACTGGAAACCTCCTGCTCTGCTCAGCGCTAATGTCCTCAGATGAGAGCAGGTCCCAGCAAATAGACCTGTTACGCATCAGCCCTGCACGTAATTTCATTGCCACGAGACAGGACACTGTGAGTGCTGGGTAAAAGCTAATTTATGGTGCTCACATCAGAAATGCATGTCCTTATGCCAACTTTGGCAACTGCGACCTCGAGGAAGAGGAGCGTGCAGCCAGCTCAGGGACTTGGCATTCTCAGAGGTGTCAGTGTTTCCAGAAGAAGTATTTCACTTGGCACCTAACGCAGTGAGGTAAGGTCAGCTCAGCCCATCCTCTCCAAGAGGACTTTGCAGAGAGCAAAGGGGAAGGCTCCTACCAGAGTCCCTCCCTCCTTCTCTCTGTACAAGCCTCCGCTTCCCTGGAAGAACATCTTGGCAGCTGCTGACTTCTGAGTGTCTCCAAGCACCCCGAGCACAGAAAGGCCACGCGAGCACAGGGTTTAGGTCTCAGCTCTCTGGACCCACGCTCACGTCCGAGACAGTTTGGTCTCAGTACAGGACTGTCTCTGAAGCCTCTCCTCCGGCCCCAAGCAACGGCAAGGCCAAGGTGCAGGTCCACCACGTGCTCACCTTGAGGGGCCAGCCCAGAGAAACGCTGGGTATATTTTTGTAAATATCATCTGGCGAATGAATACAGCATTAATTAAGCATTAAAAACATCGGGTGTTCGTTTTCTTATGGTGCTCTGCAATGATGATAACGATGCTAAAAAATGAGCTATCAGCTCTGGAAAATTCTGAATTCAGTCACTTATAATACTGACTACTCTAAGCAGGTTTTGTTTTTCATTTGGCTGCAGCAAACAGAGGTTAATTGGCTAGTCAGCAGTCACATCTGCCACGTCAATATTTCGAGTCCTGTACGAATTACTAAACTGCATCTTTCAGTTTTACTCTGAGACCTTATAGGTACGATAAAAGCAGGGAGTTAAATTGCTTTTAAAAAGCTTAGGCTATCGTACTAGTCAAAAGACAAGCAAGAGGGAAATATATGCCTTTAAAGAGGATTACATAATTTGTATTTACTAAGCATGAACCGTTCCCTCTACAAACATCATCGCTGCTGGAATATGTAGGTCACTGAGATAGAAGCTCAGAAAAATACCTGCAACTTTGAGTGAGCAGGCATAGAAGTCCACAAGACATTTTAACATGAGTCTGTAAGAGTGCTACGCAAGAGTCAAAGAATTAATTTGGGATTAACCAGTTGAACCATAAGGAGGAGAAACAGAAAGTATGAATTCAAGAAACATGCAGACATTTTTCTTAGTTCGACTGTCTTAAAAAAACACCCCAAAACCAAACAAAAATAGCCTACAGAGGGATCTTTACAAGTGAAAAGCTCTGAATTGTAGCAGGTGAAGGAAAAAAAGTCAAACAACAAATGTTAACTTTTCAGCCATTTTTAACACAAAACTACACACCGATACTCTTTTGCTAAGGACTCTTACAAATCTGCTCGTTAGCTCAATGCCTAGGTCATAAAAAAAGACAACTACGATGCTGGGGAAAGCAAGCAGACGCTTACCTGTAGGGATGAATGTAGGCTGTTGCAACTGCATGTTGGCTAGAGCCTGTTGGTAGTGGAAAACGCTTGGGTTAAAGACTGTGGTGGCACCATTGTTTTTTTCAAGTGCTGGCCTCTTTGGTAAAGGTTGAAGTGCACCAGGCGGCAGGGCCTGTGGATAAGGGAGTCATTAAAGACAAGTGCAGTGAAAAATAGGGACCCAGATGTAGATCAAGCATGCAATAAATAATAGGGGCTCTTGGCTGCAAATCACCTGCAACTGTGTCAACTTAGTGAGACAGGAAAGAGAAGAGCAGCTAAATCACAGTGGAAGTAGTAGGTGAAACCACAACTTCACTAGGTAAGCAGTTAGTAAATGTATCAGGAGAAGGGGCAGAGCTGAGGAGAAGGAGGGATGCTAAGGGAGCTTTTTCAG